ATCCATTTGATGGACAAAAAGTTTGTGAATAGAAGCCAAGGCAATTAAAGTTCGTATAGAAGAAATACGCGTTACCGGTGCAAATGTGTCAAAATAATCAACATCTTGCTTTTGAGAAAACCCTTTTGCCACAAGCCTCGCTTTGTATTTATCAATTGAACCATCCGGATTTAATTTCTTTTTAAAAATCCATTTGCATCCGATTGGTTTGCAACCTTTCGGTAAATCGGTTAAAATCCAAGTTTTATTTTGTTTGATAGAATCAATTTCGTTTTGTATGGCCTCAAGCCAAAAAGGAGCTTCTTTGGAAGAAATAGCATGTGAATAAGTTAAAGGTTCATCATTAACAAGATATGTATAAAAATCATTTCCAAAAGATTTTTCTATCCTTGGCCTCTTACTTCTTCTCAAAAGAGAAGGTTCATCATTAAAAGAATCATTTTCTTTTAATGGCTCACTATCACTAGAGGGTTCATCATTAAAGGTTTCATTTCCTTGTAATGGATCATACTCACTATATGGTGCAACGGTCTTGTGTTCACGTTTCAAAGGAAACACATTTTCAAAAAATTCAGCATTTTTTGTTTCAACAATTGTATCACATTCAAGCACATCACTTTTCAAAACAAGAAACCTATAAGCAGCACTAGATTCAGCATAACCAATAAACATGCAATCAGAAGTCTTAGAACCGATTTTCCTCTTCTTGGGATCAGGCAATAAGACCTTAGCTAAACACCCCCACACTTTCAAATATTTCAAATTAGGTGCAAAACCTTTCCACAATTCATAAGGGGTTTTCTTATTGTGCTTAAGAGGAATCCTATTTTGTAAGTGACAAGCAGAAAGAATAGCCTCACCCCAAAGATTATCAGGTGCACCAGAACTAATTAAAAGAGCATTCATCATCTCTTTTAGTGTCCTATTTTTTCTTTCAGCTATTCCATTAGATTGGGGTGAATATGGCGGAGTGACCTCATGAATTATCCCTTCTTTTTCACAAAAATCATTAAATAAAATATACTCGCCCCCTCTATCTGATCTAACTTTCTTAATCCTTTTATTTAATTGATTTTCTACCTCGGATTTATACACTAAAAATTTATCAAAAGCCTCATCTTTATTTTTAAGCAAATAAACTTTAGTGTATTTAGAAAAATCATCTATAAAAGTGATATAATATTTTTTACCACCTCTAGTCATTGTATTTTTTAAATCACCTAAATCCGTGTGAATTAAGCTAAGCAATTCCGATTCCCTATAAGTGGAGGGACAAGGTTTTTTGGTTAGTTTAGATTGAACACAAACATCACATTTTTCTAGTGTCATTTTATTTTTACTAGAAATCAAACCACAATTATTTAGCATTTTAATATAAGAATTACTTGCATGTCCTAATCTAGCATGCCACACATCATAAGAATCAACTAAATAGACAGAAGCATTATCATGCAATATTTCAGAAATGCCAAGTATATATAGTCCTTTCTTACAATAGCCATTTCCCACAAGAACATCATTTTTGGTCATAACAAAATTATCACAACCAAAAGAAACTTTAACCCCAACTTTTCCCAAGAGATAAACAGAAACTAAATTAGTCCGAATCTCGGGCACATGAAGCACATCATTTAGTGATAAAGTTTTCCCCGATGTGAGTTTAAGAAGAACTTTCCCTTTTCCATGCACCTTAACAGTTTTAGAGTCCGCTAGGTACACGAGCTCTTCACCATCTCCTATAATGGTATAGGAGGTAAAAGCATTTTTGTTTTTACAAATATGCTTGGTAGCCCCGGAGTCTACCACCCACTCATTCACATCATTAGTTTTACAACTTTGAGAAACAACCGCAATAAAATTATCATCACTACTAACCAAGTTTAAACTTGATTTTAGTGGGTTGTTGTTTTTCATAATTGTCATTTTACCACTAAATAAAGGAATAATATTTTTCTCAAAAATTGGTGTTAAAGTATGGCTTATTGTAAGTAGGAAAGTAAAAAGAGTAAGCATTATACGTAGAGATATATCCAAATACCAGTCTAAATCACACCACACATGCAAGAATAACATGGCCGTGATGAGTGCAGCGACAACGCCTTGTGAGATCACACGTGCAGACATATCCGACGCCAAATACTTTCTTGAGATTGTTGTAATAATCGGCCGGATAAACCTGCAAAAACGTTAGAAAATAATCTAGCTCGAGACGCGTCAGACGCTGTCCTCAAGAAAGTATTTCCGACTAGCGAAAACCTTTCCCCAAGATATAACGAGCTCTTCGGCGTAAGCCGGTAACAGAACAACGAGACTGAAAATATATTAATCCAGCAGAGGATGTTTTTGCTCAATGATAATCTATTTTCTAGCCAACTAACTGGCTGGCTGAACACACATATATATATACTCAAAATGGACGTTGTTAGCATGCTGCAGACGTTAATTAGTAATAATAGACCCCCAACGTTCAAATTATTTAATAGAATTAAAGTTGAGGCTCCATTGTTGTAACTCCTGAAAACAACGAGTTATGCCCAAACGGTTATTATTAAAGATGAAGTTCAGCACATCATTATAGACTTTTAAGCTCAATATCAAGAATAATAGATGCAAGCACCAAGCAGCACACAACTTTTAGAAAGTAACGTTCATGTCAAATAAATTTTTAGTAAGCTTTAATTAAATTAAAAGGTTATCAAAGTAATCAAAAAATAAAATAAAATAAAACATTATTCATTTGAAGTACTCTAAATATTTCCAACAGTGTGTGTGTGTGTGTGTGTGTGTGTATATATATATATATATATATATATATATATATATAGGGAGTGGTTCTAATGAGAACACCTCTTATTGTGAGAAGTGAGAACAAATCCTAACCAACCATCTTAATAAATGAATGACTATTATTAATTAGTGCACGGTACAATGATGCACTTCCGTGCATTATAAACGGCCTTTTAGGATCGAAATTGGGATGTGGAGACAATCACTAGTGCAAAAAACACATTCTATAACTATGTTTTAATATAGGTTCAATTAGAACCGTTATAATATGTAGGCACGGGGTCATATTTATAAATAATAAAAGTTTTAGCAAGTTCAAGGGGTAAATATTATAAATATAAATAATTATCTATAACGGTTATAATCAGAACTGACATAGTTAAGTTAAACGGGGTAAGTTTTCTAATTTCCGGAAACTTCATTTACAAATGGGGTCGTTTTTATAATTTTAAAAAATGGTTTATTATGTCAGGTGATTTTTGACCCTTATGAAAAGTGTACTAGTAACTCACCCGTGCGTTGCACGGGGTGAAATCTTAAAAAATTATACTCCATACATGTATACACAAATGCATAGACCTTAATTCAAACAAAAAGTCATCATCTCATACAAATGACAAATATTTAAAGACCAATCGGTTTGATATTTCAGAGGATAAAACTACATGCACGCTATTAACCCAAATAAACAGCACCCCGGTTTAATATTTCAGAGGATCAAACCATTTAATTCAAGTTTACTTTGTAATATAGAGTATGATTCACGCTATCACCCATAAATATTTTACATATATGGACGTATGGTGTACTTCACGAGATTTTTATGATACATACTACGTATAATTTTCACTCGTAAATAATCTCATGGGAACAATAAACTCCAATTGAGAGATCTTTTTAAAACATATCAAAGTTGAACAAACATCTTTGTCATTGTCAGATAAAACCATGCTCTCACGAGAAAAGCTAATTCCAACTAAGGAAGAGGAAATTCAATCTTAATTCTCGATTTGTATCTTGCAGGTGGTGGTGGATCCATGTCGATCTGGTCCCCATTAGGGCCGAGAACGTCGGATCCTAGCAATATTTTGACATAGCCCGGGACCGTTCTGATATTTTCCGGGTCTGGGCCGATTCCGAGTACCCAGGTGGTCTGGTTCCAGTCTCGAACACGTTATATTTCTTTACCTGGTTTTAATCTTAAAAAAATTGGTCAGTCCAAGACTAAAATTGCCCGATTTGGTCCCTAAATAGGTGAACCGGGATCGGGTTCCACTCTTGAGCGGAAAGGGCCGATCCCAGGCCCGAAACCAGAAATTCCATATCTGACCCGTTGCCAAACAATGTCGGACCCGGTTTTCGACAGGGTCGGACCGCCGAACCGGGTCAACCCCTTAAGACTCACCAGGATAGATCCATTAATCACTACTACTTGGACCGATATTATAGGATTTTTCAAATCCCAAGGTCTAAGTGTCTTGACAGGATTTGCAAATATTATGATCAACCCGCCAATCATCCACTCGACATTGAGAAGAGCATTTATGTGCCCTCTTAAGACCATAATATTTTGCAATCACTATATTTTCGCATGAAGATTTCCTTGTCACGCAAACCCGATGGAATTATAGTATCTGCATGATTTAAATTCATTATATATGTGACACTTTGATCTGTTACATAAGTATATTACCTCTTCATTCATTATCACCAACACAAATACAAAATAAGTCATGAGCACAATGTGTGAAATGAACTTTTACTTTTGCAACAAAATTGTTCGTTTTTATAAAGGGAGGGATTATTAGGGATATGAAGAAGTGAATGTTTTTTATGCATGTTTTATATGTTTGAGAGACATACCCACTTTGCTTTTATAATTTGATGTTAGTGGTACGAAATTATGAAAATAATCAGTGCAAACCGGAAAGATATTACATTTAAAAAAGGTCATATCATCATATGTGAAGATACCCGAATTCTTGCCTCTCCCTTGTTCGGGGAAGGACAAATACATAACATTCAGTTGACCTCTCAAACACTCGATCATGGTGGAAAAGTTTCAAAAAAACTAATGATGCATTGATGCGTGAACATAGTAAGAAAAGTTTCGTCATTTAGTCAGATGAAAGCTCACATCAAGCACAAAATAAATCATTATTGGAGTAGACAAAGTTAACAAAGGAACTGGAAAGTAAAACTGTATAAGGCATAAGGAACAGTCCAAATCATATTAATGATTTAAATAAACAGAGGAACTCTCAAATAAATTTACAATAACCATTTTTTTTCATCATAGGAAATATTTTTCACTTGACTACCCATGTTCAATTACATCCTAAAAAGTTGTTCTGAATAATAAACTAATTTCAAATGAAGTAAAACATGTAACAACAAAAACATCAAAGCCTTGGTCCCAAAAGATTTTGGAGTCGGCTAAACACCACTTTATAAATACGGTAAAAGCAGGTGTAACGTTTGGCTTCCCTGGTATGCAAAATTTCCATCAACTACCTGGGAAAATATCAGAAAATATGCATTTAGTCAGTTAACATTGTGGTCATCCACTGCCTCATAAATTGACAATAAACAGGAAAAACTATCATGATTCATGATTGGTATTAAAGAATAGCTGACTAACTGTAATTTCATAGAAGTGTTTGAACTTTACCTCTTGTTTCTGTTTAGATTTTGTAAGAAGTTGCCTTCGCACATGCTACAGGGAAAATGCAGGAAAAAAAACATCCTTCAAGTTAACACATCACAATATTTTTCCATATAGGCAATGTAATAAATTTCAGTAGACTTACATTGCGAGTCTTGAAGTTTGTCTTCATTCCTCAAATTTCTTTTTTATTATCAAAGAATTGGAACAATCAGGCTGTTAAGAATACAAATCATCACATAAGTGACATATATAACTCATAGCATGATTAGTAAGAATATATTTTGTCCACGTGGAGAACTGAATAAAGTTCACGACTACTGACCCCAAAGAAAGAAATATAATGAGAAACAGATAACTAAATAATATAACCGAAAAATAAAATACTAATTATGAAGGAACGTACAAATGATGAAAGACACACGGCATTCAACCAACCCTGAGAAAAACGTGTTGTTGCTATTGTGTAGTTTTTCACCTTTACATGGTTTTTGCAAATAAGAGTACATCTAAAAAATAGGAGCCTGCAAAGCTTTTAGTATTCTTAGCATTAGCATTCCAGGTATTCTTAACACATTGGTCAAAAGACATAAAAAATGTATTTTAAGCATCCTATAAATAAACTCGAAAAAATGTCCAACTCAAAAAAAAATGAAAAAACCAACTATTCAATATTTTAATTTATTTTAAGCAAATGGTAAAGAAGGGAAAGTCATTGCTTGGTTTTACAGGATAGCACAAAGTCAAGACTTATCAGGGACATTGTCTGGGTTGAGAGCAAACCTCATAAATCTTAAACAAATGTAAGATGCCCTACTTTGGTGTGTACTTTTTTCCCTAATAAAAAGGAAAGGAAAAAAACCAGATACCGATTTGTAATAGAGTCCAAATTACTGGAATAAGTTCCTATTTATTTTATGCAGGTTCTTACAAAATTGTGTACATTCCAGGGCCAAGTTCCAAAAGAGATAGGCAAACGTCCCAAAGACTTTAGATATATCCACCAATTAGTTTTCGGGTCATGTGCCATGGCATCCCTTATGTCCATATATAATTGTGCACTTACTTGACACAAAGTTTAATAAAACCAAATCTGTGTGGCTTGATTTTGTGATATAACTTCATCAAGGACTATTTTTACCTAATAGTTTCACCAAAGAGACTATGAAAAAACAACAATTATATTACGTAATGTCAATATATAATATCTAACATGAAAAAAAAATGTAGAAAGAGATACTTAATTGAAGAAGTTCAACCAACATGTAAAAGAGTATTGTTTGATTGACCACCATCATCCCATATGATAGATTCCCGTTGATTTGGCAGAGAAGGGGTTTAGATTGTAGGGGGGGAGCAGCTCCTTTCATTTTACCATGATGAATTTAGCACAAAAATGGCAAGGATGGGGAAAATATCTACAGGCAACAACATACAACAAAGTGGTAGCAAAACATAGAATCCTTTCTTTTATTTAATAAGACCTAAAAAGGAGTGTTTTGGCTCTTACACTCATTGCACTCCTTGATTCTTTCGAGGTTATAAACCTATAAACCTATTTGTGCAAAACATATAAAGGAGTATTGTTTATTTGACAACCATCATCATCATTTCATATATATGATAAATTCCCGTTCATTTGGCAGAGAACTGGGATCATATCATGGGGGGAGCAGCACCTTTCATTTTACCAAAGTGTATTTAGCACAAAGATGGTGAGGAAGGGGATAATCGCTACAGGCAACAACAACATACTACAAAGTGGAAGCAAAACTAAGAAAAACAAAGCATCCTTCCTTTTATTTAATAAGACAAAAAGGAGAGTTTTGGCCCTTACTCTCACTTCACTTGTTGATCTCTTCCAGATTTTAAAACTAAATTGGCATCATAGCAGGAGTGCAGGGTGAGAAACCAAGGCAAATTGATGCATCAGCATACATAGAGAATAACTCAAAAATTCATCAGGTTAATCATTGCTATTAATATTCCATTTCCACATAGTGGTATATCTTCCCTTTCAAAGGCTTTAACCTAAGAAAAAACAGTTTGTAGTTCAATAAAAAATGAGGATTGTATTGATAATCATTATTAACAACCTCTTTTTTTTTCAAATGGGGTGAACTATGAACTACATAGTTGACATGTGGGATGTTTACCTTATGTTGACATATTTCTGGCTAAACAAAGTATATTAATCTTGTTGAAGCCAAGTCTTGAAAATCAAAGACTTCATTTGTTAGTCCAGATACAACACTAAAATACTACATTGTAGAAAATAGCATTTAGTCATCATCATCATCATCATCATCATCATCATCATTACCCCAGGGGAGGTCGGATGTACGTAGTCTTACCCCTGTACTAAAGCACAAAGAGACTGTTTCCGAATGACCCATAGTGAAAATAGCATTTAGTATGCATATAAAATTGTTCTGGCTCGCTAGTTGCTGATTGGTTGAGCAAGTTGTAATCATTTATTTATCGGTTGGGTTGTTTGACTTAACAAAATTAACAAAATATGTATCGTGCTATCATCCAAATGAAACCTGCATACCATCAAAATTGGAATTGAGTATTCTCCGGAAAGCAAGCTATTGGCAATTTTAGTACCTGCAAATAAAAGAAGCTTGTCAAAGGCGATTTATTTCTAGAAATCCATACATTAGATGCTGAAAACAGGCAAGGAACTTGAGAAAATCCCTGCAATTCCACTCATTACCTTATCAACTCTAGTTCTAAGCTCCTTAAATTGTGATTCCAAAACATCAATCTGGCTGAGTACTGTTAGAAAGCTCCTTAATTGCATTTGAAGCTGCACATAGAGTAATTTTCTAATAATAAGAGTGCTGACTCTGTGACACATAATTAGCAGGTGGTTCTATAGTCTAAAAATGTTAATAACCTTATCCTCACCTTTAACTATAATTGTATAAAGCTTGATATTTACAGCCTCTAAAATGACACTAACCCGTAGATTTTAATACACTTCTTAATTGTATACCTTAATGATACACATGCACATCAAATTTTGTATATAGTTAAAAAAATAGAGCAAATAGTAAATAGCTCAAGGAATGAGGACCTATTGAATAAGTCTCCAATCAATCGTAGGCAGACCTGGAGGAGTTAATGACACGGGCAGACAAAAGACAAATGGGCTGAAGCAAGGGCGGTGAGGCCCCTTTGCTACTGCCCACAACACATTCAGTCCAATTGGCCTAAGGAACCTACATGGTTTAAATAAGCAAAGAGAAAAAACTATAATAAATTGACATGCATATAGATCATATGCGCATAGGTTTAACCAAATAAAATTGTCATTTCGATAATGACGTAACAATGTTTAGGAGTCACTAATTGTGTTTATATACTTGAAAATTATATATAAATGATAAGAAAAATCTCAAATGTATATATAATTCCTACATCATAATTGTAAGTGAAAATTTGACCTTTCAATTTTCACAGTAAGATGTAATTAAAAGTTAAAACAGAACATAAATGTGAAGTTTTAAGTAAAAACAATATTCCCTCTCTATCAGACTATCTACTTCTCAAATTTCCAGAATAATCATAAATTGTTGATTGAGGAATTATTAAAAAAAAACTTTGTAATCAAAGTATCTACTTCTCACAAAACAAAATGTGAATAAATCAGTTTATTCACATGGCTATTCACGTGACTAAATAGAAGATGGAAGGAAATTGTATGAATCAAAGTAGAATTACATTAAGCAGTACTTGTGAAAAAAAATTGTAGGCATGGACGCATATACAAAGATGATTCCGAAGGAAGAAGAATATGTTTACCTCAAAGTCAGTTTGAATTGGCTGGATTTCGGCCAAGATATTTCCCAGACTGTAATGGTTGACTCCATTTTCGACGGATGATTTCCGCAAAGATAGATGCTGGAGAATGGCTGAAGAATGAAATTGAAGAAAACACCTTTTAAGGATGATTTTTGGGCGGACGATATCGGTGACGTTGATTTCAGCAAAGATGGCTGAACCTAACATTGAAGAACGAAGTTGAAGGAGGCTATAGTGACCGATCTATTTCCGGGTAGATGATTTCCCAAAGACCTTGCTTCCATTTGGGGTAAAGAAAGAAGTCAAGAACCTAAAGAAACGGAAGGTAGAAGCCGTCGATTCATTTTATTAGAATAGGACGGATGATATGAGAAGTTTGTATGAGCGGGAAACTCATTTCTAGAATTGTAGTGCTATTAAGTAGAGGATTACTCCGTATAAGTTTATTCATATGCTTTACTCCGTATTAAAACCGGAGTAGGCTAGGGTTCCCAATTGCTTCTGCTCCAGATTAACACTCGGCAAATAAGACGAAGGGACGGACGAATACGACGGTTCTGCATCAACCGACGGCGAAGCGACGCACTGCTCTTCCTCAACTGGCAGCAAATTGACGCACTGCTCTGCATCACCGGAATACTTCATACACAGATAGACATAGCCTCACGAAGCTCCGCCGCTCATTCAGCCCCGCTCCTCCAGCGCTGTTCCTTATGCGCCGCTCCTCCAGATCTGACTGTCACTCGCTCAACATCAGCAATTCCATGCTGCGGCTCTCCATCACCCTTATCACCTCTCTTCAGCCGTTGTATCTCCAGCATTGTCCATCACACCTTCTTCAGGCTTCTCTAGGTAAAAGTACATTTTTTCCAAATATGTTCTATATTAGTAATCGCACAGATCGAAATTTCTTTATCCTTTTGTCTTGAGTTCGTTTATTAACTTTAAATTTGAGATATATCATTAAAATGTGGATACTGCTGTTTGTAAAAATTCTTGATTGAGTTGTTCGAATGAAACATTCCCATCTTGGAATGAAGAAAAAGAAAGTTAGGTCGTAACATTTTTGTTGTGTAATGTCTATGATGTGTTTGTAAAAATATCTCAGTGATATTTTTAAATAAAAAGTCACACTCTTTCATATACCTATTAAGAAAATGAGTAAGAAGAGATAGTTTATTTTGAGTATGGTTTAAATACAAGGTAGTCAAAGTCGTGAGGCGCACTCAAGGCGCTAGAGTATTTATATCGCCTGAGGCGCAAGGCTCAAAAAAGTGCTCGCCTGACTCATGTCAAGCGCACTATGTAGAAAATATTATGTATACTATTCTAGAGTGATCAAATATGACATATTCAACATCATATTGAACTAAATGCATTAAAAAGTCATGTCTTTCAATAGCTGGTTTTGAGGTTTGATGATTGGGGTGGCATAAATTGTGTAGTGTATGAAACTATTAATTAAGTTAGATTATATGAAGTTTAATAAAATTATAATATGAACTGATAATAAGAAGATATATATAGTTATAGACTGCATATAAAGTATAGAAGATATAAGAAGCAAAGAGAGCTATAAAGTGTAGAATATATAAGAAGCAAAGAGAACTATAAATTATAGAATATATAAGAAGCAAAGAGAAATATAATATGTTTGAGTTGTATAAAATATATAAGAATAAAAGAGAACTATAGAAGTAAAGGATGAAGATAGACTGAAAGAATAAAAAAGAAAGGATCAATGAAGATGACAAAATAAATGAAAACTATAATCTGAAAAAGAAAAATGAAAGAACATGGGAAGATGATGAAAAGAAAGACACCTTATGGGCTTCTGACTTCTGTGGGTTGATCATTGAATGTTGTTTCAGCGCTGAACTAGTTGCACGAGTAGAGCATAGCAGAGTAACGATGAAGTCACGCTATAGAAGTTATTTTACCGTGACTTAGAAGTTAGAAGGGCTTAACATGGGTCTAAGTTATTTTGACCTGTTATTTGAATGGGCTAAATCTTATTATAAGTATGGGCTTGTTATTTAAAGTAGGACCAAACAAATAAATAGGCTGCTACTCCTTTCCCAGGCCAGGCGACTGAAGCGTGCGCTTTTTTGCACTTAAGGCCTTCACCGCTTCTGCGCTTATTGCGCCTCACTTGCGCTTCACTCAGTTGGCTGCGCCTGGGACTCTAACAGTCGCTGACTCTCATATGCGCCTCGCCTGGTGCGCTTAAGCGCTCAGGCGCGCGCTTTTGATTACCCTGGTTTAATGATCCCTGGTACTTGGGCGTTCTCTGTTGAATTGAAACTATTACACAAGATGAAGAAACATATGTTCCTTATAATTCCTGATTTAAAAAAAAAACTGGGTCAAGCAAATTGATTAAAAAAATGGAGTTCCTTTCTGACATTGTTTTGTGATATTTGCATACATATACAAAGTACTAGTATGACTTAGATTAGTTTTATTGTCTCAATAACCATATTAGGCCAACTGTGCTTGCCCAACATAACCAAGTTGAACGACCAATATTTTTTTAGCATCATGGCTCAATTTTATTGCAGATAAAGAGCATCATATCTCAATTACACCTTTACAAGAATCAGGTTTATCTGAGAAATCAAGTGATAAATTAATCTTAGAGAAGAACACCGAACAAAGTCTGGTGGCGCTGACCTAAGATTGGTAAGCCTCCTGCCGTTATTAATACGCTTTGAACCTGCTTATTATAGAAGTGAAAGCTAATGATATGGAATATATCATTTCACTAGCTAAGCTTTGGGTTCATTGGTCTCTTTAATCACCTTCAGTGCATAGTACATGTTTTATGCTTTAGTTCCAAGTCTAAACCAGTTAATTAGCAGGTTTTCCAAACTACTTTCTGCCCACAAATGTGGGCAGAACCATCCTGGGCTGCAAAAAATGGACTATGGAAGAAACCTGAACACATTGAGATTTTGGGATAGGAAACTAGTGGTGCTCGCTAGTGGAGAAGCAAGAGATTACAACCTATAGGTATTTTTGGCCCAATTTTGGGACCTCCTTTGAAGGACCAATTTATATATGCATACACATATATGGATGTGTGTATGTGTATGTATGTATGTATATGTATATATTCATTCTTATCTCTTATTCTTAAGTAAAAATTATCAGGTTTTTGCTCAACTTTAACCTCACACCCCAGTGTTGTTGCAGATTGTCAAGTGAAATCTCATGTGGTGAGCCAATTGAAGAGAGTTTTGAAGTTCCCATTTATTGAGAAAATGCTCATCAGTAAGAGAGGTTCTCATATTATCCATATATTACACACACACACACCTTACCCAAACACTTACTGATAATTGTAGTGATTAACACACCTTACACTTACTGATAATTGTAGTGATTATCATTGTAGGATAATAGGTTTTAATCAAAATCTCAGTTAGGTGGGATTCTTTACAGTAATGGCAAACGTGTTGGTGCATATATAGTAGGATTTTTTGTTATGTATTTTTATTAAGATTCAATGATTTAATTTTCAGGATGTCTTTTCTTTTGAAACATCAGGAAAGCATGTCACAATAAATATATTTTAAACTTATTCCAACTGGATTTGGAAGTTAGAAAATATTAGTACACGATTTGAGCATGGTAGCAGATTTAATAATTTAATCAATTACTTGAGGAGGTTAATGACATAAGCTTTGATCTTGCCAACAAGTATAAGATCCCATGACTCATAGACATCTACCATGCATCTCGTTTAGCTCAAAGTTGTTTCTCTGTAAGCATATTTGGAATTTTAATCCTATTGAAACTAGAATAGGCCTTTATGAATATGTTTTCCTTGCCTCAGCTTTTCATGACAGGGATAAAAAGCGCTATGAAAGTGAAGTATGTTAATATATGTGAAAAAAAGATGTTTCAACTTCGAGGTACTTGCTTTGACAATAGAAAATGACTTCGCTCAAATGGCACATTTATTATTTTTGAATTTTGACTTCACCTTGTTTTCAACTCATAGTTGATAGTTGTCTTTTATGATGGTTTAAGGTGCTGGATCTCGGTTTGCTAAGGTTTTAGGGAAAGTCTGCTGTTTTATTGGTGGAACGTCAAATGGGAGATATTGGTTCCTGGTTACGTTGGTGTCCTTGAATATGTTGGCAAAAATGTCAAATTTATTTTCTATATAGATTTTTTTTATTAAATTGCCTATGGTGGGCTTGCACAGATTGTATAAATTGGCCAAGTGCATTGTTTACGGCTAGTTGCTCAGACGTGATATTTCATGCTGTAATTTCTTATGGATAAATTTATATATTAATCTAATTTGGTATTGGATCCGATTTTTTGTATGCCCGTATTTTTTTTTTTTAAATTATAATCACATTTCATATCTGTTGTAAACGAACAGATATAAAAGCTTGATATTATTTGGGGTATTACTAGACTGACACTGAAAACATTCAATAACAGTTAAATTCGTAACCGTTATAAAAAACATTCTATAAGGGGTACGACTACCCGACACGAAAAGAGCTCGACTTTCTATATCGTTGGCTTCTATGTCGTTACGGGAACCGACATAAAAAGTGCTTTTTAACCCATATAGAAAGTGTTTTCTACACTAGTGAATAAAGGGTGAAATTGTAATTAACAGCCAGATTCCTTTTATAGGTTGCTATCTTACGTCTTTTAATGTAACAGTTTTAGAGCCACTTTCCAAAGAAGTAGGCATAAATAAAGAGTTAAAGACTTAAATCATATAGAATATTTTTAGTTTAAAATTGATTTAACTCTTTATATTGTAATCCAATTTTATCAAAAATTATATCAAATTATATATATATAAAAATTAGCTTTCATATGACACCAATATTGCATATATATTTTTTAAAAAAATAAGCACAATATGCATACTATAAAACACAACAAACATCGTCAACTACATTACACACAAGAACATGTATCTAACACACAACCATCAGTATCTAATGCACACGAAAAGTAATATCTAACACATAGTTTGTATACAATACACCATAACAAGTATCTCAATCACAAAAAGCATTATCTAACACACAAAAATAAATAACTAATATCTAGCAAGACTTCATATAATATAATACACATGAACTAGTATATAAAGCACAATATGTATATATGTTAGAGAACTCTTATCTGCACATAGTATGAATATAGAGAATCACAACAAAATATATCATGCACAACAACCATGATCTAACACACAACCCCAAATATATAATGCACGTGAACTGACACACAACTCATTTATGAAATTGACATGAACTAGTATCTTACTCACATTTCTTATATACCATAAAGAGAAAATATGTGTTGAAACATATAACTATGATATGGTGATTAACAATTAAAGAGAGAGATTATTAAAGGAATAATTGAATAAAAAGGGAATAATATTTTGTTTGCTTTTTTTCATAGTCAATAACGAACATCCCTTACAAAAAGTAACTATTCCTATAAGTACGTGAGTCAAACCATGTGAGACATAAAATGGAATATTTAATAGGATATGGATTTATTGTTAAGTCATGGTAAGAGAAACGGATGTATTAAATGCCGACTAATATATACGAAAATGCCCTTTAGTAGATGGCAGATCAACATGAATTTGGATGGCTGTGATTTGTTCTCACTTCTCACATTAAGGGATGTTCTCATTTGAACCAAACTCTCTCTCTCTCTCTCTCTCTCTCTCTCTCTATATATATATATATATATATATATATATACACACACACACACACACACACACACATATATACATACACACACATATGTAGAGTAGTCTTCCTGTCAGGACCATCCGGAAATGGACCTCCGTACGGACCTCAACGTTTGGGCCTCTTCCCGGTGGATTTTTTTATGAAACTTTTTTGAGCATGTTTTTTATCAAGTCTAGTTTATCCATACCAAATTTCAGCTAAATATTCCATCAGGAAGGCAGTCAAATGATTTTTGGAAGTTAACTGCATTTTATATGTAGACTTCCAAAAATCATTTGACTGCCTCCCGATGAAATATTTAGTTGAAATTTGGTATGGATAAACTAGACTTGATGAAGAACATGCTAAAAAAGTTCCATAAAAAAATTCCACCGGGAAGGAGCCCAAACGCCGAGGTCCGTACGGAGGTCCGTTTTTAGAGGTCCTGACATGAACTTTCCTCATGTATGTATGTATGTATGTACGTACGTACGTATGTGTATATGTATAAACAAACTGGACTACACTTTTTTAATGGACAAACATAATTTGTAAAGTTTAATGAGCATAGCTAACACCCAAAGTACCATATGTTGACAATACAACCAGTCACTTGTACTGTAACTAAACTGATATTTTTGACATTATTAAATGTGCAGAAATATAGGCTCAAATTCAAATACCAATGTAAACTTAAACATTTCAACAAACACTATGTTAGTATACATAGACAAAGATAGTAAATATGCTTAATTGAAGACACACTAGTAGTCTTCATAAATTAGAATAACATGTTTTTAATTAAGTTCAGTCTGTTATGTAAAGTTATAGATATTCAAAGCCTAAAATTGAAGAAGTTTTTAGAGATTTAAAAAACTAGAACTAAATTCCCGTTTTTCAGAAAAAAGTATATCACAAATTTGCTAAACTTTTGTTTATTAAATTATAAAACTATGAAAAATAAACCTCATCTTGAATAATTTGAAGAAAAACATGACCTAAAAATGGCGGAATCAATCTCAACTTCACAGGATCTGCATGTTAGGCGCAAAATTTAGCAAAGTTGATAAATGTGAATAAAAGCTTATAATTTGCAAACCTAACTTTTTCCAGTTAAGAAATTGGAGATAGCAATCATCTCTAATATTTGTTGATAATACTTTAGTGATGATAAATATCCGTAAGAATTCGCCAATTTCTCCTATAGAAGTTGTTAGATGAAAACTTACCTTTGAGAAATAACTAGTACCGCGTCTCTCCGTGATTTGAATGATGTTCGTTGTTGTACTGTTGCACTTCATCAGAGGTATTGGGATGTTCGTCGTTGCGCGATTGAACTTCGTAGAACTGATGGGGAAGATGCTATGTCGCTAGTCGGAGAGATAAACTAGCGTCTTGTGGTTCTGGAATGTCATTTTAAAAGGGCGTGTATGGGTTCTCAATTTAAAAATCAAGCCCCTGATGTACTTTTAATCTGACGCTTCCCGTTGCTTCTCACTTTTCAACCGTAACAACCTTCTCACCAGATTCATTCTCTCTCTCTCTATGTGTGTGTGTATACAGTGCAATATTTTCAATAAATTATTAACTAGACTTTCTGAGTGATAAAATGGAATTTTATGAACATAATCTATACTTCATGAAAAAATATCAAAAATTTCATCTGAGAACCGTCTCAAACGGCAAATTCCACACCAAAATTCCTGTCAGGAGCTCCTAACTGGAACGAGACTCAAAACTGGTACTCTATGTTTATATGTGTGTGTTGCTTCAATTGTAATTTAAAAAATAGGACTTTTTCATTTTAAATTGTTTAGACTTAAAACTTGAAAGATATATTTAGTGTTAATCTAGAAACAATAACAAAAAATAAAACTAAAAGTTTTTGAATAGACAAAAATGAGAGTTAATTTTCATATGGATAAAAAGATAATAGATTTATAGGATTGAATTGCCCCTACTCCTAAAAAAATCCCATTTGGCCCAAATTAGCCAATTGGATAGAAATTGGAAGTTAAAGTTATGTATACGATAGTATTATTTAAACATAAGTTAGTCACATATTTTGTAAAATAAAAAAATTGCCCATATTTTTCTTCTAAAGGGTACAAGTAATATTTTACGATTCTCCTTTCCTTTTTGAGTTATCCTAATTCCTAAACATGTAAATAATCGTAAATTGAAGTGAACTAACATTTAATTTTATCATGAGAGGCTCGAAATATTTTTAATTGGACTGATTCTAGTCCAAATGGGGATGGAGTTGCAGTATTTTGTATCTATGTCAAACATAAATGTATTGGTAAATTACTCTGAGCAAGAGTAAACATGTTTTGTTTACTCTATTTTTTTGAGTAAGAGTAAACATCTATCTTTTTATTTCTGAAATATGAGTTGTTAATGTCACAATTGAAAAATAATTTCATAATAATGTATACTAATGTAACTATTTTGATGACAATAAATTCAATATTGGAAATAATGGCGTAAATAATAGCTGCAGAGTTATCAAAGACAAAAAGATGAGTACAATCCGGTTGGCACAAAAAAGTTACTCAAAATATATGAAGTGACTTTAATACCCCTGGACTACAACCCTAATTCATTTCTGTCGTTTCTCTCCTCAAGATCATAGCATCGTTCTTCTTCGATCAGCCGCAGCCATCCGCATGCCATCGCCTTCTCCAAATCGCCGCCATCTTCACGCCGTCTCTCCACACCGTACGGACATGCATGTATGCCACTCTTCTGTTTTCTTCTCCTCTTCTTCAACAAATCTCGACACCTGCGATGGCGGCGGCCTGGTGATGGTGGATATCTGACGATGTCGAGCGAGGATTCATCATTTATAATGAAGGAAAGTGACGAGGGTTATTAAGAATGGAAATTCCGGCAACAATAGGCATTGTCGGGGCTAGGGTTCGCATCTGTAGTCGAACGCAATGGGGACGGCGATTCCGTCTCATCGCTCTGCCGCCGTCGTTGAAGGGGTGACACAGAGGCATTCGAGGGCTGAGATGGGGTGTGGGGTGGGTCTGCGGTGGTTCAGGGGCTGAATCTGCTAGGGAGGGATGCAGTGAGGGGGTGGGGCTGGGGGACTGGGGTAGGTGGGGGTCAGGGTTGGGGTTTGTGTTGAAAAGGAGCTGGCGGCGATGGTAGCGGTTTTGGACGGTGGTGGTTTCCGGTGATAAAATTGGCCGAATAAATGTGGTAGAAGTAATTGTACCGGAGTCACTATGCAAGTGTCACTGCGGAGTTGTCACTGTGACCGGTGGCAGTTACCGGCCGGTGGCAGCGGCAGTGGTCAATGGCCCGCAACAGAGGCCGATGGTCACGGTGTCAGCTGTCACTACAATGCGTGTCACTGTAATGGGTGTCACTGTAATGGGTGTCACTGTAATGGGTGTCACTATGGCCGGTTTGTAACTATAAAATAAATTCACTGCAAATTAAGGGTAAATTGGTAACCTTAATCCTTATTAGTCACATTTTTGAAAATTAAACAAAAAGGTCACTTTTTTGTCTTTTGTCTACCTTTTAGTAATATTGGGGTCAAAACCCCTAAATATTGTCATGTTATTCACATTCTAGAAATTTAAAAATATAAATCTTATTTTAAAAGGGGATTGCTTTGTGCACCCCCTTGATTACTAAATGTAACCATGCTCTGACAATCTTGCCCTTTTAATTATTAAATTCAAATTATTCCATACTGCTAAGAAGTAAAATTGATGTTAACCAAGCATTCCAGCCCGGTGGATGTGAGATTACTGTGACTAGTGTGAGGACTCGGGTTCGAAACCCGCTAGGCACATTAAGGGAGATGATGAAGGTCTTGCTCCCAATGATTCTTTCTACCTTCACAATGTTGCTTAGCTTCTAAGAAGGGAGAGGATGCTGACCAGGCTCGAGTTCGCATGGTGGGAGGACCCTCTGGATTCAGGGGCAAGGTAGTACGCTGGATTCGTCCTGAGGTACCAGTACCGACGAAAGTTGACTGTGATCAGATTTGGATTTAACTATCTAGTGGGCAAATACTTCTTTGTTTATAAAATGTTATAAATCTTCATTATTGTTCCAATTTTTATAAAAGGTACATCAAATTAAATAATTTTTATGAGCTTTCATATGACACCAATATTATATATGTAAAAAAATTTAAAAAACAGATCAGTGCTCGTGAACGGACGATAAATGTGTATTTACTATTATGTAAATCTAAACTAGTCTGATTTGATTTGTTTGAATTTATTTGTATCAAAATTAGTTCAATTAAAAACATCTTAAATGTCATTCACATCGTAAATCTAATCATGTGACATATATGGCTGTAATACGGAATTAGCATGGTGCCGATAGAGTTTTAAAAGGCAGGACCGTCCACCTTTGAAATTAGTCAAACAAATAAAAAATGAGGATAATTACTTTACTAGAATTAAAAATGTTACTTATTCAAATATATAATCCAATATAAAATTTTGCAAAGTTAAAAGCAAAAAGTTTAAGTTCTTATAATATATAATGTCTCTTATAACATTACCACATTCTCTAAACTGTTTAATTCGAAGAAGTGATGTATCACATCCAGTAACACTAGCGTCGTGATGGTAAGACCATGTCGTAGTATTAAATTAACATTCTAAAATATAGAAGAATACATTTATTATGACACATTAATTTATAACTATACTACCATTAATGATGTTTTTAATTGAATTAAAATTTTCTAGTCTAATCAAATCTGGTATGATGTCATTCAATTTGATCTGTTTAAGTTTGGTTTAGTCTAGTCTGAACTGGTCTGTTATATTAGATTTATGTTCTATGTGTGGCATACAAATATCAAAAGATGGTTTGATGTAGTCTATTTACATGTAGTTTAGTTTGGTGTGGGATCATATAGAGTCAAATTAAAAACACATCTTAAAAAGTGTATATTATAGTTACTTTGTATTACTGTGAATGATAATATAATAAATAGAATATCCATTACAAAGATGAATGAATAGTATATATGATCACCCAAATATTACCGAATATTGAATGCGATAAATTTAATGAAACAGATCAAAAATAAAAACCGAGATACAAATAGTGGGGAAGATGAAGTGATTATAACAAATAAATGAAGATACAAAATAGGCTAAAATACATTTTTAGTCCCTGCAAATATGACACACTTTGTTTTAGGTCCCTGCAAAATATTTTGTTTTTGTTTTTCATCCCTGTAATATGCACCATTTTAGTTTTAGTTCTTCTAAAATTTCAAAACCACTCTACTCAGGAAAAAAATTATTTCCGGTTGCATAGATTTACTAGAAATATTTAAATTTGTCCTTTTATAATTTTTTTGATGCTAATATGAGAGTAAAAATAATTTAAAACTAAGTATTCACATTTTAAAAATATATATCAAAAGCCTTCAAAAAAATGAAATAAAATATTTTTTTAATAACATGACAAATTATTAGAGGAAATGTATTAGTCAGGGTTATTTTGAAGTCAATCAAAGGTTGTTATCATCAGTGATGGACTAAAACGAAAACTAGCATAAATTGCAGGGACGAAAAATAAAAAATTAATTTTGCAGGGATGTAAAACAAAATGTACTACGTTTGTAGGGACTAAAAACATATTTAAACCTAAAAATATTACCTCTGTCACAATGGACTTTGCACTAATTGAGGTTAGGTGAGAAATAAGAATAGTAAAAATTGTGTGGTTGAAGATTGTGTAGATGAGAGAGAAATGAGCAGAACCGCAAAAGCACAAAATAGTTACTTTAATGGGAAAGTGACAAAGTTTTTTGGGACAACAAAAAAAAGAAACTTGGCAAAGTCCAATGGGACGAAGGGAGTACCTCATAAGAATGAATGTCAAGAGTACAATTTTCTAGACAAACTTCATATTCATTTTTCATTGTATAAGAAGATTGTAAAAAACTTATAAGAGCATTATACTGCGCTATTATTAAAAACGATGACACCCCATCCCTGAGGGCCCCCAACACTGACCGGACGACACGATGAGAGAATGTAAATTGGACTATAATCACAATCTGACAGATAGAGGGTGGAGCTCCGTCCCCGGTACTTGCAGAGGCCCTATGAATTTTTAGCAAAGTAACCTCTTATCGTAGTTGTCGGGATTCGAACCCGGGACCTAACCCTTGTGACACCCCTTGCTACCAGTTGAGTTACGCCCACCGGTTTATACTACGTTATTATTATTTATATATTTGGTGGAAGTTAGAATTTGTAATCTATTAGGATTAGGAGTATTCTTTAAAGGTAATTATTTTTTAGGTATAAAGCTAAAAACATTTAAGGAAATCTGACGCCATTAATTAATTTAAGGAAATTTACGAGTATTGATTTTTTCCTTGGGATTTAACTTTATGAAAAAAGACAAATTTGAAAACCATCAGAATTGATGTATTACGCGAGTTTCCTTGACCAAGAGTGCAATTGTGGTGGGGCACAAAGTACTAGACATCCATGGCGTGTGCTCCAAGTAAACTTCCACACCAAGTTCAGTTCATAAATGGTGGCCGGCCCCAACTCTTTGGCACCCCCGGCCCGTACGTATATATAGTGCGGATCATAAACTTTTATTACTCGATCTCTTCCTTCCTGTGAAGCATCGATTGATAGTGGGGAAGCAGCAGCAACTGATGATGATGATGATGAATCATCAACCCGCTTTGCCGCCGGAAATCATAGCTGAGATATTGCAATGGCTGCCCGTTAAATCCGTCTTAAAGTTCAGGTGCGTTTCGAAATTGTGGCTCTCTCTCATCTCCAGCGACCATTTCATCCAATCCCGACCGAAAAAGCCCAGAGTTTTAACAAAACTCATGACAAGATCCACATTACAGATCATGGACTGCTGCTTGGAGTCTGCCCTGTGTAGCCGAACTTTTTGTGAGACGGCCATCCCTTTTCCAGTGGAAGTGGATTGCGACAGGATTTCCATTGTGGATTCGTGCAATGGGCTGCTTTGTCTCGCTACTGACCACCATGTCATCCTGTGGAACCCGGCTACTCGAGAATCCAAAATGGTACCCCATGTGGCCGCCGCAGAGGTGGAACCGAAATCATATGATCATGAAATTGGATTTGGGTTTGGCGAATCTTGCGGTGATTACAAGGTAGTGAAGCTCATTGAAGGCCGTGGGGATGCATCTAAGAGAATTATAGTAGCAAGTGTTTACAGTCTGAAGACTGACACTTGGAAGAGCATAGAGGATATTGAGGGCAGGTTGATGTCTCGAAAAGGGAAATTTGTGGATGGGAAGCTTTATTGGGCGATGATATACAATTGTGGGCGAAGAAAATGGAAGCAATGCTCAGGGAAGGCGGTGGCGGGTGTTCTTTGTGTCGATGTGAAGACAGAGACATATGAAGAAATAGAGCCGCTTCTACCGCACTCTGATGCTCCCAGCCTGAGGGTGGCTGTGCTGGACGGACGCCTTTGTCTGGTTTCTAATTCTTCTGACAGTAAAGTAATAAGTTTTTGGGTTCTGATGAAGAACAAGCAGCAGCAGCGGCAGCATCAATCAGAAAGTTGGTCTAAAATGTTCAAAATTTTCGTGAGGAGGGGGGACATGAAACCGTTGTACAAGCTGAGTAAGAGTGAGTTGCTGCTCCATTCTTCTGACAGCTTGTTTGTCTACAATGCTAAAGACAAGAGTTGCAGGTACACTGGACTGAGTAACTGCTCTTCTGCGCATGTTTATGTTGAAAGCTTGGTTTCCCCTACCAAGTATCCCACCGCAGCTACCTAGCTGTTCATAAATAACGTACAGAGGAATATAATTATGGTGACTTGCATTACTTGTAGCTAGGATCATACATCTATGGACGACATTGTGCTCATGTGGGGATGGGTATCTGATTGATTTCCTATTGCTTTATATGTACTACTCTCTCCGTCCCATTTTACCTGTCCTACTTTCTTTTTTAAGTTGTCTCAAAATAAGTGTCTCCTTTCCTTTTTGGAAAAAAATATGTGGCGTACACCATTTCACTTTATTATACTCAAATCTCAACCACAACTTTTATTTTTTCAACCACTTCATTAATAACCGTGCCAAGTCAAACTAAGACACATAAAATGGGACGGAGGTAGTAATATGTATAGGCTCCTAGCCTGGCCTTTGCCTGTTCTCGCTTATAGATATACTGCGTACTACCTCCGTCCCCTTTTAAATGTCCCGGAAGAGGGTGACACGGATTTTAAGAAAAGTGGGTTTGTGTGGTTGATATTAATTGATAAAGTAAGAATAAAGTAAAAATGATTTTGAGCCACACAAACTTTACCAAATAAGGTATGAGACATTTAAATATGGACATCCCAATATGATAAAACGAGACATTTAAAAGGTGACGGATGGAGTATATATTTTGATTGAAGTACATATTTTGGCTCATATATATTTGACTAGTTTTTAAATGCCCACAAGGAGAAGACCACAATAACGTGAAGTTTTTATTCCATGGTATAAACAAAAACAACATTAATAGACATAAGAGATGTTAATATGTAATACACACCTTGATTGTCCTTGGGTAGAATAATGTTTATGCATATCAATATTATCAGGTGTATTTACAAAATTGACTCCAATAGTTCAATTCGCTAATAATACACAAAACATAGTGCAAGAATCTTTTCCGGAGAAGATGAAATGATACGACACTTTTGCACTTGGTTTAGAGGGAAAACTATCAAATAAGCCACTGTACTATGCCGAACCTTACAAACACTCAATTAAGTCCTCGAACTATTAAAAAACGTTCAATTAAGCCCTTGTGGTCGGTAAGTAACCGGTTTCCCGGTTAAACGGCGACGACCGCGACGATGCGCTCGAACCCCAGCAACGGCGGGTGCCGGGAATCGGGTTACATTTAACCGTAAATCGTTTTTTGAACAACTCAGGCCATTCAATCATAACATTACAGTCAATCCAAACAAATTTTACCCTAATTTAACCTTGAAATGTCTTTAGTAGGCTTATACAAGTATATAGTATAGGGCACGTGAAGTTCCTCTTTCCTTGAATCACTGCCAGAATGTGCTTACGACACTAAAAAGTTAGGAACATATGATATGTGTGCAAAAAAAACTTACTTTGTTCATAGACATAGTTATTAAAGCAAAATCTGTCTTACAAAGTTCTCTCCAAGGCTTTTCATTGAAAAGGAAAGAGAAGAGAGCCAATAACAATCCAAATCCATTTATGTGGTTGCGAGGGCTCAATCCCAAGGTTTCAAGCTCCAAATGAATCAATTAGTAAGAATTATTTTTAGCCATCCAAGTAGGAATAACTAATTTTAGCCCACTAAGTAGAAGACCACCAGCGCTTTTTGTTTTTTCACCTGAATCCATACCCAAACTTCTACCATTACAATTTGAATTTAACAATGTGAGCAGTTGAGTAGAATAGTCCCGAACTTTTTAAAACACTGGATAAGGACATCTCAACATGTGAAAGGCTGGACATATTTTTCCCTAACCATCAAATACTGTTGCGTAGTTTAGTGGTGCAATGTTTTGCCCGAACTGAAGTGCGGAGTACTTTGTATTAATTGGTATCGCCGAATCCTACTTTCTTGGGTTGCGACAAATTCATTTTACTCCCTCCCTCCCAAAATCAGTCCCATGCTTTTTTGAGTTTTTTTCTCAAAGGGAGGTAGTCTCTAAACTTATTTACCAAATAAAGGTAGTTTTAAACTTATTTCCCAAGGTAAGGTAGTTTTTGCCATGTCATCCCATTTCACCACGTCACTTATTCCAAATCATCTTCTAGCCATTTCATGTCATCAAGCATCATATTCACTCCGATCCCGTTGCTATTAAAATATAAAAAATATGGAGTATCAAGAATTTGAACCCACAACCTTCATTAGGAACTCTTCACTACCAAGCCACTGGACTGAATTTAATTGTTGATACATTTTCTTCTCTACGTATACTTAACATAAACGGATTATACATTACTCCTTCCATAATTTCCATAAACAATTAGAGAATACTCCGTATGATACATGAGTAATGCTTAATTTGATACATGCAAAATTATAATACAACGCCATTTGATATATTCAATTAAAAATAATTTAAAATAACTCTACACTATATAAAATAAGAAACAAATAAATATCATGATAGGCTCTAACTCACCACAAATTTAATAAAAACTCTTACATTATTATTATAAAAAATATAAAATATAAGATTTGGTTACACTATATTATTTTTATAATATCCCAACACTAAAATACATTATTTTTATATTCATAACATAAGTTTTTTTAGCCTGTATGTGATGGATTAGGATCTAAAATGGAATTTATTTATTTTATCTATCAATTAAAAACTATGTTAAAAAAGAATATTAATTTCAAATGAATATGATAAAACTGGATTAAAAGAGAATATAATAGATAATGAAATTAAAAAATTAAAAGTAAATTAAAAACTATAACAAAAACGTAGGGTGATATATGCTATTAAGTAGGTGGTAATAATTCGTAAAAGAGAATTTGCATCAAGTATTTATTAACTCCAAAAAATATTTTGAACCCCCAACATGAATTTCCTGGGTCTGCCCCTGTTGGGTTGCATGCCCTACTTTGACTATATCGTATTTATTAATGCATTAGTTTTTTATAAATATTGCTTTATTCGTTAAATTTGATTTTTCAAAAATCCTTTTTTTAAAATTTTTACTTACAACGAATTATATATTAATAACCAAAGTAGGGAGCATTGGCAAATTAAACGTAAAAATGGATGTGGTATAACTAAAAATGAATGTGGGGAGTATAAAAAAATGAACTTTTCGGAAACATACAATCCTCCATAAGCATGATATGTCATTATTATTTACCTCTGCTCATTTCAATTAGTTATTATAATGTATTAGGGAATAAAAGTCTGGATTCTTAAGATGTTTTTACTTGGACTGCAATTTGCTGGTCTGATTTATTTAAGTCTGGTCTGCTATGATCTAGTCTGTTTATGTCTGGTCTGGTAAACATTTGGTCTCTGTATATTTTATAACTGCAGAAGTCAAGTCTGGTCTGATCCGTTTAAGTCTAGTCTGGTTTGGGACTAAAATCAGTTTGAGTAAAAACATCTTTAATTATTGGCGAATATATTTACAAATATATTAAAGAAAATAAAGATAGTAATAATACAAAATGCAGATAGTATATCTTATAATTTCTTAGAAGTTTTAATTCGGTAGGATGTATATACTTGTGATAAAGTCCCAACCGGTAAATTGAGAAGCCTTAGAGTGTCATATTAAGGTTCGGACTACTTCTCCTAACAGGTTGACCTTTTAGAATGGAACCTCGTGTCTTAACATGGTATCAAAGCCAAATCGATCTATGGTGTGTGCCCCCTTACGCAAAATGATGACATGATTAAAAAAAATGAAAATGACGAAAAAAAATGAATGACGGCACGATCCGGATGAAGTGTCTGGTCGTGAGGAGAGGTGATAAAGTCTCACACCGGTAAATTGAGAAGCATTAGAGTGTTATATTAAGCTTCAAGCTACTCCTAACAGATTGACCTTTTAGGATGGAACCTCGTGTCTTAATATTTTTTTATTATATATGTGTGTGCGCAGGTGTGCGTGGCTCTAATTTGTACATATGAATAGACGTGATAGACATTTTTGTTTGATAAATATAATTGAGGTTGATATGAAGTATTTAAATAATACTTTGTAGAATAATTCAGTGGGTTTAAGAGCTTATGGTTTTAAAAAATTTACCACAGGTATATTTTATATCTTTGTAATTATACTTTTTGTTGGTACCTTGAAAAATAATTTGTGGTTGAATTATCTGTTCTTAAAAACTTTCTATACATAAACAAATTTTGCATCTATTTGCACATTTACACGGAATCAATGGAATTAAGTACTCCCTCCATCCCGTTAGAAGGTTCATGTGAACGGTTTACGATGCTTGACTGACGATAAAACAACTTAATCCATGTTCACACTCTGAATTTTTTAGTTAATAAAAATTTATATATTCAGAAACTACATTAAAATCGCTACAAAGCCTGATAAAAAAATGTGAATTTGATATATGAAGCAAAATATTAAAAATGATTTAAGTTGTCCATGAGAATGGTGGACGGGAATTTGTCCTTATATTAATTTGTAGTACATGAATTTGTGCACTTTGTGATCAAATATATTAATGTGTTTACGTTAACATGCATAAATATATTTAATCTTACCTTTGCAAAAATTGGATTGGAATGAGGTAGAATATGTAATATTCCATATTTCAAACTATACTGTATATGGAATGAGATATAAATATACTTCGTATAATTTACGTAGTATATGGAATGTAAAATAAGGCATTATTGATGAGTATTGAATGCGTGTTGAAACGTTTTTTTGTACTTAATAGCAAATATATACTCCCTCCGTCCCAGAATTAACTTCGGTTTTGACTGGGCACGGAGATTAATAAAGTGGGAAATGTGTGGCGGAAAGTTGTGCAGATGAGAGAGAAATGTGTAAGAATGGTTGTGAACCACAAATCCTTTGCTAAAAGGGGAAAGAGGAGATAAATTTGGGATGGACTAAAAAGGAAAGAATGAAGATAATTATGGGACGGAGGGAGTAACTCATCAATTGTACTCAATAGCAATTAGATAATTGATAAATTGTACTCAATAGCAATTAGTATGAAGGTTGCACTTTATTATTAAGTAAGTAGATAATAACTCCAAAATGACAACAAATTAAATTTGTCACTCCCATTTTTTAAATAAAAAAATACACGTGGTGTTTTAAAATTTCAAAACTGATTTAGGATGTTTTCTTTTGGACTGTTTTCAGTCCCAGACCAGACCAGACCAGACCAGACTTAAACAGATCAGACCAGACCAGACCAGACTTAAACAGACCAGACCAGACCAGACCAGACTTAAACAGACCAGACCAGACCAGACCAGACTTCCGTAGTTATAAAATACACAGAGACCAGACGTTTACCAGACCAGACCAGACCAGTTCAGACCAGACCAGACCAGACCAGACTTAAACAGACCAGACCAGACCAGACCAGACTTAAACAGACCAGACCAGACCAGACCAGACCAGTAAATTTCAGTCCAAAAGAAAACATCCTTACTGCCCAAACTTTATCAGATTTTTTTGTGTAGTAACGGATGCTTTTAATTTAGCAAAAGTACTACACATCCATCGCGTGTTCTCCAAGTAAACTTCCACATCCATTCGCGTGCGCCCCAAGTTCAGTTCATAGTTCATGTGGCCATTCATTTGACCAAGTCTGGTATTATTATTATTTCGGTTACAATTATACCCCGGCCCGTGCGTATATATTATAGTGGGGATCGGATCATAAACTTTTATCACTCCATCTCTTCCTTCCTGTGAAGGATCGATTGACAACACCGAAGCAGCAGCAGCAACTGATGATGATGAATCGCGCCAAATCTAACCTGCAGTTTCATCATCAACCCGCTTGGCAAACAATAATGCCGCGGCGGCCTTATTTCCCCCCGGAAATCGTAGCTGAGGTGTTGCAATGGCTGCCCGTCAAATCCATCTTAAAATTCAGGTGCGTTTCGAAATTGTGGCTCTCCCTCATCTCCAGCGACCATTTCATCCAATCCCGACCGAAAAAGCCCAGAGTTTTAACAAAATTCATGACCAGATTCTCATTACAGTTCATGGACTGTTGTTGTTTGGAGTCTGCGCTGTGTAGCCGAACTTGTGGTGAGATGCCCATCCCCTTCCCCGTGGAAGCGGATTGCGAAAGGATTTCCATTGTGGATTCGTGTAATGGGCTGCTTTGTCTCGCTACTGACCAGCATGTCATCTTGTGGAACCCTGCTATTAGAGAATCCAAAATGGTACCCCATGTGGCCGCCGCAGAGGTGGAACCAAGGCCATACTATCATGAAATTGGGTTTGGTTTTGGCGAATCTTGCGGTGATTATAAGGTAGTGAAGCTCATTGAAGGCCGTGAGGATCAACCTGAATTGCTCCGGAGAATAGTAGTAAGTGTTTACAGTCTCAAGACTGACTCTTGGAAGACTATAGAGAATATTGAGGGCAAATTGAAGTCTCCTCAAGGGAAATTTGTGGATGGGAAGCTTTATTGGCCGATGGTATATACTTGTGGGCATAGAGAATGGAAGCAATATTCAGGGAAGGCAGTGGTGGGTGTTCTTTGTCTTGATGTGAAGACAGAGACATATGAAGAAATTGAGCCGCTTTCACCGAAACCTGATGCTCCCAAAAGCCTGACGGTGGCTGTGCTTGACGGGCGCCTGTGTCTGCTTTCTAATTCTTCTAACAATGAAAAAACCTTCTGGGTTCTGATGAAGAACAAGCAGCAGCAATCACAAAGTTGGTCTAAAATGTTTAGAATTTTCGCGGGGGGTCGTGGGATGGGGCAAACAACACCGTTATACAAGCTCAGTAAGAGTGAGTTGCTGCTCCATTGTTATGACAGCGTGATGATCTACAATGCTAAAGACAAGAGTTTTAGGTACACTGGACTAAGCAAGTGCTCTTCTGCTCATGTTTATTTTGAAAGCATGATTTCTCCTGCCAAGTATCATCAGCGCAGCTAGCTAGCTGTTCATAAATAACAAAGAAATCAAGGTGACTTGTATTAGTTGTAGATAGGAGCATACATCTATGGATGACATTGCGCTCATGTGGATTGGTATCTGATTGATTTCCTAATGCTCCATATGTACTGATATGTATAGGCTACTGCCCTTTTTGTTGCCAGTTCTCGCTTGGTGATATATTTTGATTGATTTACATATTTTGGCTCATATACATTTCATTTCACAAGCAACACTCACTCTGGTGGCATTTTTCATAACATGAAATGACTACTATTTTCTCGGCAAAACATACAAAGTATTACTACTATATAAAAGAAACTGCACCAAATAAAACTAAAACATAAACTAAGTCCACGTATATATAGCACTTCATATGTTTATTTCCAAAATGTGATTTTTTGGATCCCATTAAGAGCCCGTTTGGTAGAAGGAAAATCGGCTGGTTTGGCTGATTCTGCTGAAATTTCTGAAGTTCTAGCTGAAGTGGCTGCATTGGCTGATTCTGCTGATTTAAGAAAAAAATATTTTTAAAATATATTTTATTAATAAAATAAAGAAAAAATTATATGTAAAAATAGCTAAAATGGCCATCTACAGTAATTTCAGCCAATACAGCCAGAAAAGTAACTCCAACCTTACTTTTTCTGCTTATTACACAATTCAGCGCGCTAAAGCAAAAATTACGTGTTTGGTGGAAAAGTTGACTGATAAGCCTGATAAGCCGAAAAGGGGTGTTACCAAACGGCACCTAAATGTATGAAACATTCTCAATTAGAAATGAATGAGCCCTATTTTGAGAATAAAACATAATTAGTCACATTTCCACATATTGTCTATGTTTTAGTCAAAACTTTCTAATACTCCCTCCGTCTTATTTTGGTTGTCCTACTTTCCTTTTTGGGTTGTCCCAAAATGGATGTCTTGTTTCGTTTTTTGGAAAGAAATATGTGGTCCTTATCATTTCACTTTATTCTACTCAAATTTCAATCACAATTTTTATTTTTCAATAACTTTATTAATCATCGTGTCAAACTGAAAGTGGACAACCAATATGGGACGGAGGTAGTATAAATTATACGAAACAGTAGTGTGTATTAATTTTCGTAGTATAGTTTAAAAGTGTGGTTGTTAAAAGTTGGACACTAACATTTTGAATAGTTTCTTGCTCCATATAAACGAAAACTCTATCAATTACAAACATGGACCAATCTTCCAAAGAGGATTAACATAAAAATGCTGTTGAAGGAACTGTAGTTATAGGAAACTTTCCGAAATATGAGTAAAAACATTGTGAAATAGGGAAATCTCCCAAAAGAGGGGAGTACTACATTTTTCTTTAAATAATTGTAATTTACTACCATTTTGAAATTCTACTACTCCCTTCGGATCTTTTTAAACTTCAGTGTTTGACTTCACAGTTATTAAGGAAATAATGTTGACTTTACTGTAGAGTACATTGTTGAGACACTGTTTGGCACTGTTGAGACATTGTTTGGCACTGTTGAGACACTGTTTGACACTGTTTAGCACTGGTTAACACTGTTTAACACTGTTTTGATGTAGGTTTCTTTGCCAAATAAAGAAATAAGAAAGTGTGAAGTTTATTTTGGACCGTCTCAAAAAGGAAAGTGTGAAGTTTATTTAGAACCGGAGGGAGTATCATATTTCAACGTTAATTACACTTTCGTACTACCCCCGTCTTAAAAACATTGCCATATTGACTTCTCTTGATCAACGATGGTAAATTTTAAGCAATGATTTTACTTATTATATTTGTATGTAAATTCATAAATTTTATATTTTTATGAAAATATTGTTAATTTTTTTATATATAAATAATTTTCATATTTATCATTAGTCAAACCTGGTCATCATTGCTTTAAATCATTAATATTAAAGTCATAATGACTATTTTCAAAACATTATAGTAATTACTCATACCTAAAAAAATAAAAACACAATGCTGATATATTTTGATTTGACATTGTTTTTACTCCTATTTATATCAATCTTTTTAGCACATTTCGGTTTTTGAAGATAAGATAAAAAATCTATTAAAACAATTAAGTTGTTAAACATTCAATAATCTCTCGAAGAGGCTGCGACTGTACTTGCCTTATTGATGAATATTATAGCAAAAAAACATAACGTTTTACTTTATGTCAAACTCATCCCAAAATTTCTAGTCACTTTTGCTGGGAAGTAGGCCTGGCCTCGGGCCGGTTCGGGCCCGGTTCGGGCCTGGGCCCGGCCGGGCCTCGGTTCGGTAATGTAAGGCCCGGGCCCGGCCCGCCTGTGAGCGGGTGACGGTTCGGGCCGGGTGACCCGGCCGGGCCCCGGGTCGGGTGAACCGGCGGGTCGGGTCGGGCCTAGAATTTTTTTTTTTTTTTTTTATCTTATATTCTTATACATCTACTTGGAATCTTGAATATTAAAATTATTTAAAAACAATCTTGAAGTACATTTATGTGAAATAAGTAATAAGTACATTTTGAGAATTGAGAACAATTAATTCTAATACATTTTCTATTAAGTAATAATAATATAATATAATTAAAAAATGCGACATATAAAAAAATTTAACTTTTATTGATTTGAATTTTGAAATATGAACTACAAATCTACAAGTTCACAAATTACAATAGAGAATTGAGGATAAAATAAGAAATTGTAAAATACTAATCAATCGGAATCCCCGGCATAGGTAGAACCACCATCGGTTGATTCATCCATAAAGTCTTGGGAGGGGATGAGGCTAAGTTCTTGAGTTCTACGTCTTGCCTTCAACCAATCGTGGTAGCATATAAGTGTCTCAAGAGATTCGGCACTCAAACACGTTCTCGATTTAGTTAGGACGTTGCCGGCCGAACTAAATTCTTGTTCCACGGCAACTGTTGAAACCGGCATTGATAGTACTTGCTTAGCCATCCGTGCCAAAATCGGGAACGTTCTTTCTTTTGACTTCCACCACTTTAGGACGTCAAAATCTTCATTTTCTACAAACTCAACCTCATAGTTAATATACAAAGCAATCTCATTAATTGTGCTTTGTTCAGTAGTGTGCGTTGTTTTAGCTTTTTTCATAAGATTGCCAAATGCAGATTTAAAAAAACCTTTTCCTTTAGATGAAGATGTTTGGGTTGGGGGAGGGGGCATGTTGCCATATTGTGCACGAAACTCATTAAATAAAGAATAAAATAAACTACTAACCTCGTTGTATTCAGATTGCGGATCTATAGGGTTATCTTCATACATTGGAAAATCACCATAAAAAGATTGATAATAGAACTTGTAACATTGTTCCAAATTACCAAGTCGATAACGAGGATCGAGAATAAAAGCAATACCATAAATATGTGGAATATGTGAATAATATTTTAAAAACTTTTCCTTCATAAAAGTACAAAAATAGCTCACATAATCGGCATTTTGAAATTCATTAAAAGCACCGGCGAGATTAACAAGTTCACGCATAAATTCGTTTGAAGTAGGTTTATAAACATGACTAAAACTTTCAGTTGCATTATTAAAAAATATCAAAACATTACAAATTTTTTCGCAAGTGTCGATGTGAGCAGAGTTTAAAATGTAGTTATCATATTCTTTTAAAAAAGCAGGAAAATGTTCTTTATATCTAATAAGAACTCTAATTAATTTATAAGAACTATTCCACCGAATAGACAAATCTTTAGGAAAAGCAACATATTTCACATTTCTTTCATTCAAATAATTTTTCCATTTTAATTTAAGTTGACCATTAGCCCAAATACGTCTAATCCCCCCCTTCGCTACCTCCATAGCATCTCCCAACGCTTTTAGACCATCCTGCACACATAAATTTATTATATGGCATGCACATCGTTGATGAAAAAATCTACCCATCAAAGTAGTAGCACCACACAATTCACGCAATCTAGGTATAGCAGCAGTATTATTAGTAGCATTATCAAAACCTATAGCAAACACCTTATGAACCAAATTATACTCAATTAAAATACGCTCAATCAAAATATAAATATGTTCGGCGGTGTGACGATCATTAAATTCACGAAAAGCAAGAACACGTTTATGCATATTCCAATCATCATCGACATAATGTGCAGTCAAACCCAAATAATGTAAATTATGATAGGTGTCCTCCCATATGTCAGAACAAACAGTAACACGTCCATCATAGTTTGCAAAAAAATTTTGTAAGTTCAACTTTTCCGCCTTATAAAGCCTTATAATTTCTTTTTTAACCGTTTTTCGACTATAACTTCGAAATTGAGGATTTAAACAAGTTTGTGCATACTCTTTAAAAGAAACACTTTCAGAAAACAAATAAGGTAAATTTTCTTCAACTATAAAGTTAGCCATACCAGTCAAATTTTGTTGATCATTGTATGAGAAATTACCATAAGGTTGGTTATTTGCAAACCTCGATATTTGTGTTTGCTTCCCCTTGCCTTTCTCAATTTTTGCGTACTCCACCTTGTGCTTGCCCATAAGATGCCTTTTGAGGCTCCCGTATCCGCCCGAAGTTCCCAAACTGTACACCTTATCGCAATGGTTGCAACTTGCGTACCATTTCTCGGTGCTTGGGTCTTTATACTTTTTAAAATTATTTTCTATAATAGGAGATTTAGATTTCGTACCTATTTGGGATGAACCACCCTCGTCACCCTCGTGGTCCGCCGCTTGCTCCTCATCCGGGGTGCCGTGACTCCCGGCGCCCCCCGCGTCCTCCTCCGGATCGTCATCCTCGAGCTCTTCTTCGTCAATGGTGTGAATATCGTCCGGGAGGACCGGGATGTCTCGTTGATGGAAAAATTGAGGATTTTGAGCCAATAGTTGTTGTAGTTGCTCGTCGGACATTCTTTCGCCATCTCGCTGTTGGTATTCCGGTTCGTCCTCCCATCCACTTTGAGAAGAAGATCCGGACTGCCCGCTTTTTTTGCGCAAACTAGGATGAGTTCTCGCAATCTCCTTCTTTCGGTTGCGTTGGAGATTTCCGATATCCAAAGAATGTCTACCGCGCTCCATCTTAACAAATATAAAAGTATATCAAATATTTTAATATGTATAAATTTACTAGGTGTACACTTTAATGAATAATGCAAAAACTTAACTAGTTTTATACTTTAATTAAAATGTCTAAATTTACTAGGTGTACACTTAAATGACAAATGCAACAAACTAACTAGTTTTATACTTTAATTAAAATGTCCAATTTTACTACTTGTACACTTTAATGAATAATG